TACTTTTGGATGAGACTTGGAAAATGACAGATGTGCTTGTATGTTCTCTTTTCTCTGCATGTGGCCAGATTTTCTGTCTAGAAGTCTTTACCTTTCCAAGGCATAGATGGCTTTATGCTGGATGTATATGCTACTTAGCATAATGGGGTTACAATTCCTCTGGGTGTCCATATGTGCTCTAGGGATACAAAAATTACAAATGTGCTTCCTATGCTTCTTAATGAAAGATTTTTATTATTATTATTTTTTAATCCCAACAGAAATAATAAACAGCTCTGGATAAAATTACTGGCTTGATCACAACACTGCTTAATTCCCAGCAGCCAAAGAACATCTGACCAGCCTGAGCAACTGAGGCAGCTGCTCACAGAACCACACTGCAGCCAACACCAGGGCCCACTGAAGCAACAGAGAAACTCTTGCTTTTTGCAATTAATGAGCTAAAGAAACTGAACTATCAATTCTGTAAGACTGTATTATTGTTAACATTTCAAACCACCTGAGGATTTGTACCTCTTGATTTTGATCTCAGATGGACCACAAACTGTCCTGTACAATTGTTGATGACAGTGTGGTGTGGAAAATGACCCCATATTATCAGCTGTGGGTGCCAAGATTTAGTAACTCATTACAAACAATAAGTAAAATCCTTGTTGGGCTGATTCTACTGGAATAATTTATTGATTTTAAAGGACATCCCCTTGCCCCCCCCAAGATAAAACAAGACAAAAAACTCCCAGAAGTCTCCAAGAATTAAGATAAGAATGTCTACAGCGCTTCATATTTCTAACAGTTAAGTATTTAAAGGAGCTGCTATTGAGCTCAAGAAAAGCAAAAACTTGGCATGCCAGTTTAAGATCAGGAATTTGTAATTATTTGTTTTGAATACGCTGTAAGATTAGCAAATATCCAAACTTAAGTAGCTAACTATTTTGTTTTCCTCGGATTTTATGAGATTCATAGATTTCAGAAGAGACTCATAAGCAATTAAAAACATTGTTTTTGCATATCTAGGTTAAAAAGAACATTCCAGTGTTGGAAGTCTTGAATGTATATTCTTAATTTTTTTTTTTAGTCTTAATATCACAGCAAACAATATTTTTTGGACTGACAGTTTTGGCAAGAATTTTAACTCATGAAAATACCTGAATAACAAGAAGCATGTGATTTTACTCTCTCTTCTGGGATCAGCCTGAGAAAGGAATTTATTTTTTTTCCCCTTGTTTTTAACAATAGCTGATTATTCCTTGCCTCTCACTATGGCATTTACCCATTGCAGCCTCTCGCCTGGGATGGAAATCCCTAAAATCATGGGTCTTGAAATGGAGATACGAGGAAATAAAAGTGTACACTTTATATGCTCTCCATTTTTAATGTATGTATACAGATCATGATCCGATTAGTAAATAAAAATGCTTACAGTATTTATGTGTTTTACACTATTTACATTTGTATTGTTGGCATTGTTTTGCAGAACATTCAGTTACGAAATGCCTGTGATGCTGCTTCTGTTGCTGTATGTTGAATGATTTGATTAATCAGCTGCCAGTTATGTTTAATGCAATTATGATGTGCTCATCCTACTTTCTATAGCTTCAATATTTACTTTTATCTCAGATATAACTAATTTTACTTCAGTGTAACTTTTGAGAAAGTTTCTGATATTTCTTTCCACAGTCCTAAAATGCAGATTTCAGATAATTCTGTGAAAGGACTCAGAATGGTCCACTAATTCTGTATTTAGAGAGATAACTGGGATTTTATTCTACAAATAGTTTGCCTCTGAGTAATTCCCTTATCTGAGTTGTCAAGCGTAGAGATTCTGGTTGTTCTATTTACAAACAAGCTTCATGATATAATTGTGATATATTTTGTGTGAAGGCATGCTCAAAAATATAGCTGTTCATTTTTTTTAATCTATCCTTGCTTATTACTGAGTTCATTGATTTAATCTGAAAATAACTGAAAGGAAGTGTTGGATTTTAGCTTTTTTAAAAAACTAAACAAAAGAAATTGAGCAAAAATACTCTCTCCCAAAGATTTTACTCTGGCATTGGGGAATCCATGGAAATATTACATGTGAATGGTATCTCTTATTACTCCCTTCCTAATAAGGTAGTGATTTCGCTGATGAGCAAATCTGGAATGAATCCAGCTGTCTTCGAGTAATTTGCATGTTGGATTAAAAAGTTGTAGTTTCTTTGCTATTCAAACGCAGTTTCTTATCAGAATATATTTTCTGTCTGAAATTCGAGTTTTTTTTGCTTGATATACTTAAGTGGCCAATTTAAATATTAGTATTACAAGTTAGGGTCATTTTACAAATAAATTTAAAAATGTTATAAGCCCAAGGTGAATCTGAGTTATAGAAGCATTTTTGTAGCAAACTATATATTTTACATTTTATTTCCATTTACTATTCTGTTCTTCCTCGTAATTTGACTGTGTTTTTCAGGATTCTGCCTGCAGATTGCACGAACCAGTAACAAGTTGCACTGTTAACTCAGATCCTGGAAACATATCCTTCACTAAGGTGAAAACATTCAGAGAAACTCACTGAAGTAAATGTTTTGTTTGTTTTTAGCTTGTTTTGTCTAATAATAGGCCAATTTGAAGCAAGCTGTTAAAAGAATTTGGTGATTCATGTATACTATGTGCTTACGTCCATTATTTTTTCTTACTTCCTGTTTCAAATTTCTAAAATAATTAAAGGGGGTGTATACATTTGTCAATAAACAGGAGTAGTGTAAAATTCGGTACTATATATTTTCCTAATTTCACTTTAAAAAAAATAAATATCAGAAGTAGAGGTGGTTCACTCCTTCTCAGCTTGCTTTGGCATCTTTGTGTTTTCACTTTTTAAAATAAATTTATTTTGTTGGTCTTTTGTTTGAAAGAGCACTCTTATAAAATTAAATTTTCTAATTAATGTTATAGATCCTTTGATGCTAAGTTTCTCATTTCCGAACAGTTGAATATCACAATATAGTTGATGCACTCCCATGTTATGAAATAAATGCTCAAGGTACAGCTGATAATGTTGAAAAATAGAAAAATAAATTGACCTTGATGAAGTGTGTCTTCTTTTGTCTGTTCCCAGGAAAGTTTATTTCAGGTATTTCTACTGCTGAAATGATTAGAGTTAACAGCTTTTTCCCTCCATTTTATTTTACAGGGTCTCTTCATCTTCCTGATATATGGGGTGTACAACACAGAGGTAAGTCTGCTTGGAGTATCTCAAGGCTGACAGAGTGAATGAGAGAAATGACAGGTTTCTTATCTTGATAACTGAGGGACAAAGTTGGCTTTCCATACGAGTGTCCTACTGCCCTTCATGCTTGGACTAGCTTATATGCATCCCAGCTTACCATTAAACACTGACACCCTGAATAAAGGGACAGACTCATTTCTCATAGGCATTGACTAATATTTTACTGCTGCTTTAAGTTTTTTGAATTCCTGGTCTGTCTTCTAGCTAAACCCGACAGTCCTAAACTGGTGTAATCTAATGTACATTTTGAAATTAACTGTTACTTTACATGCTGTGTAGAGGAAACTGAATTTAAATTATAAAAGGAACAAGTTTTACTTACTCAACAAAATTTTGAAGTAAAGTACAGAAATGGCATCAAATTCCTTTTTAAAGATCAATTAGATGTGTTTAAGATTTTAAAATCTGACCCAGGGCTTTGTGCCAGTTAGGGCTATGAACAGTGCTTGCTATTTACAGGCTCATCAGTCATAAAGGGAATTATTTTTGGCAGATAAAGCATAAAAATCATAAGGAATTTATCCACGTTGTACAACTACTTCCATTATGTTAATGATAAGAATTAGTTCTCCTGATTAACTAAAATAAGCTGCTATTTCAAAATAACAACCATTTTATTGCATTTCCATTATAAGGATGAATTATTTCCATACATATAACTAAACCAGTGAGCATCATCGGTATGGGTCTTGCTGTAACAGTGGGCCAAGAATGCTGTACGTGGGGTCCAGTGCTTGGAGCAGGGGCTGTGCTGCGGGTGGGGTGTCCCAGGCAGCCGGGGCCAGGTGTGCAGCGGATGCTCCCGTGGTGTGTTCTGCGCTGGGAACCGGTTGGGAAATGGGGACGTGTGGGAAAATCCTGCCCAGTTTATGCCCGGGGACGATTCCCAACGCAAGGCGCACCGGCGGCGTGGGAGCAGCGTGTGTCGGATACATTGCCCGATGGCTATATTGGACTAAAATACTTTTTCTTATTGGCAGCGTTTCACTTGTGGGAGCGGAGCGCCTTCACTAACGCCGTGGCGGTACGTGCAACGGAAGGCACTGGTTTGGGCTCAAACAGCCACACAGTGGGGCCTTTGTTAACCACGTTCAGTTTCAGCATCGCGGCGGCTCCTCCGGCGGAGCCGACACCGATGCCGAGCCCGCAGCCGCTGCCCGTGTCAGCGCTTTACCCGGCGTGACCGGCGCTGCCGCGCGCTCGCGGGGCGGCACCTGCGCTGCGCCCGCGGGCGGTGCCGGTCCCGTTATCCGGCCGTGCGGGGCGGGGGCCGCCCGTGGCCGCCCTGGCGGTGCAGCGGTGGGTCCCGCCCGGCCCGGCCCGGCCCGCGCCCCCCGCGCCGCCCCCCGCCCCGCGCCTGCGCGCCCGCGGCCGAGCGCCGCCGGCGCTCCCAGCGTGCCGCGCGGCGCGCATGTGCGGCGGGGCGGGCGCTGCTAATTCCATTGTGGAGCGGACGCGGCGATATTTGTAACTGGCGGCGGCGGCGGGAGCCGTGAGTGCAGCCGGGCCGGGGCCGCCGCGGGCGCGGGACGGGAGCCGGCGATGCGCCCGGGCGGCGGCTGCGGGGCCGCCGCGGGAGCCGCCCGCTGAGCCAGCGCGGTCCGGCGGGCGGGCGGGTGCGGGCGGCGGGTCCCGCAGCCCCTCTGGGCCGCGCCTCCTCTCCGGCCCGCCTTCCTGGGGGATGAAACTCGGCAGCGGCTTCCTCGGCGGCGGCAAGAGGGCGGCGGCCATGGAGCCCACGTTCCCCCCCGGCATGGTGATGTTCAACCACCGCCTGCCCCCGGTCACCAGCTTCGCCCGGGCGACCGCGCCCCCCCCGCCGGCCCAGCACCCCCCGCAGTGCGTGTTACCTCCGGCCGCCGCCGCCGCTTCCTCCACGGCGGGCGAGCCCCCGGCGCCTCCGCCCCCGCAGGACGTGACTTTCAAGAAGGAGCCGGCGGGGGCTTTCCCCTCCGCGCCCTCCTCGCAGAGGAGCCCCTGGGGCTTTCTGCAGTCCCTGGTGAGCATCAAGCAAGAGAAGCCCAGCGAGCAGGAGGAGGAGGAGCAGCAGCCGCAGCACCATCACCACTACGGGGGGCTCTTCGGGGGAGCGGCGGAGGAGAGACCCCCCGGCCTGGGCGGCGGCAGCGGCGAAGGAGCCGGCCAGAGCGTGATCCAGGACCTCAGCCTTCTTCACCACCTGCACCAGCATCCCCACCGAGAGCTGCTGCTGACCGGCAGAGGCGAGGGCGCCCCAGGGAGCGCAGGTGAGCCAAAGCACGACGCCCAGGTCAAGAAGGCAAAGAGGCCAAAGCCAGAAACTCAGGGAATCAAAGCCAAGCGGAAGCCAAGCGCTTCATCCAAACCCCCCCTGGTGGGAGATGGGGAAGGTGCCGTTGCGTCCCCCAGCCAGAAACCTCACGTCTGCGAACACTGCAGTGCTGCCTTCAGGAGTTCCTATCACTTACGCAGGCACGTGCTCATCCACACCGGAGAGAGGCCTTTCCAGTGCAGCCAGTGCAGCATGGGCTTCATCCAGAAGTACTTACTGCAGAGACACGAGAAGATCCACAGTAGAGAGAAGCCTTTTGGGTGTGACCAGTGCAGTATGAAGTTCATCCAGAAGTACCACATGGAAAGACACAAGAGGACGCATAGTGGAGAAAAGCCATACAAATGTGACACTTGTCAGCAGTATTTTTCAAGGACTGATAGACTGTTGAAGCACAGAAGAACATGTGGTGAAGCCATAGGTAAAGCAGGGCCTGGAATGGAGCCTGGATCATCAAACAGCATGGGTAGCTTGGCTGCATTGTCTCAGGGAAATACAAGTTCCTCAAGGAGAAAAAGTAAAACAAAAAGTACATCCACTGAAAACAAAGGAAACAAGTGTAGCAGCAAAATAGCTGAATCTCAAGTTACAAGTAATGTGGCCATGCCAAGTTATGCAGTTGATATTCCTATTGTGTCTTCCAGTGGTGGTCTAGTTGGCACAGGCATAGAAGAACTTCAGAAAAAGGTGCCAAAATTGGTCTTGAAAAAAGCAAGCAGAAAAAAATTACCTTAATTTTGTATCACCACTGCCAGATATTTTGGGGCAAAAACCACTGTCTGGGAAACAGAGTGGCTCTCTGGGCCTAGTAGCCAATACTGGTGTAGAAACTATTGGCCTTCTCCAAAGTACAGGTGGTAAACCGGGTCAAATAAGTAGCAATTACGATGATGCCATGCAGTTTTCCAAGAAAAGAAGATACTTACAAACTGCAAGCAGTAACAGTGCCTTTTCACTTAATGTTGGACACATGACTTCCCAGCAGTCCGTCATCCAGTCTCCAGGTGTTAGTGTTATGGATAACGAAGCTCCTTTATCTCTCATTGATTCAGCATCTTTAAATAGTGAAATAAAGTCTTGCCACGACAAGTCTGGTATTCCTGATGAAGTCTTACAGAGCCTTTTGGACCAGTATTCTCACAAATCAGAAGGCCAGAAAGAAGATCCTTTCAGTATAACTGAACAGCGTGTGGACTTGCACACCTCAGGAGAACATTCAGAGATGGTTCAGGAAGAAAACTTGAGCCCTAACTCTCAAACAGTTTCAAATGATAAGGCAAGCATGTTGCAAGAATACTCAAAATACCTCCAACAAGCCTTTGAAAGAACAACCAATAGCACTGGTTTTGCTTTTGGACCCAGTTTCCAGTTTGTTAGCTTGTCTTCGACTCTCCATAACCACACTCTGTTTCCAGACAAACAGATATACACTACATCTCCACTTGAGTGTGGCTTCAACCAATCTGTTACCTCAGTATTGCCAACTGCGTTGCCAAAACCTCCATTTGGGATGTTGCTTGGATCTCAGCCAGGCTTTTATTTGTCTGCTTTGGAGGCTTCGCATCAACAGTTGACTCCTTCTCAAGAGCTGGATGATCTCATTGATCCGCAGAAAAACTTAGAGACTTCGTCTAACTACCAGTCAGCATCTCAGAAACTGACTGGCCAGAAGGAACAGAAAAACTTAGAATCCTCAACAAGCTTTCAGATCCCATCTCAGGAGTTAACTAGCCAGATAGATCCTCAGAAGGACATAGAGCCTAGAGCAACCTACCAGATCGAGAACTTTGCACAAGCGTTTGGTTCTCAGTTTAAGTCGGGCAGCAGGGTGCCAATGACTTTTATCACTAACTCTAATGGAGAAGTGGACCATAGAGTAAGGACTTCAGTGTCAGATTTCTCAGGGTATACAAATATGATGTCTGATGTAAGTGAGCCATGTAGTACACGAGTAAAAACCCCAACCAGCCAGAGTTACAGGTAAGGTCCTGACTGACTAGGCTGTGGGGTCTTCTTAATGTAATTTGTTTTACTTTGACAACACTGCCATTGGAATGTTTCTACACGGTCCTATTAAGAATAATGTAACATGCCCTTTCAATGCAACTTTTCATATTTAGTTTATTTTGTTAGTGTGATTTTTTTTTTTTAGCTCTGTTTATTATGGTTTTTAATCAAAAATCAATAGTTTAAAATAGTGTTTTTGTTCAAGTGACAATGTTTAGCAATCAAATTTACATTATGTAGATTGTCAGGGAATAGCCCAAAAGTTTTAAATGCAAAAAATTAACTTTTTTCCTAGGACTGAGGTTTATTCTAATTGCTTTACTCTCAGGAAAGTGTAATGAAGCATGGGAATTCTATGCACCGTTAGTGTATTGGAACTTCCAATTTACAGATGATGACAAATATATCTCAGCTTTTTGAGGAAGGGATCTATGACATTTCAAATTGCTGTCTTTTATGTCGGCTGATCTGAAAGAATTTTGCTACCTAAATCTTGTTGTTTTTAAAGTACTCCTGTTCTTCCAGGTGACGCTCATTCCAGGCAGGTGGAGCAAATACTCTTGGGTCTGTAGGATGAGCCCAGCACGGTAGCTTTAATCTGAACAGTAATGTCCCCAGAACTTCTGCATGAGACTGTAATTCCGTAAAGAGATTCTGTTCTCAAACTATGTTCTCAAACCATGAGAACAAAGTGTGTGCATCTGGTTCATGTCATTAGAACCCCCACTTGAAACTACAGTCGTAATCCAGATAGGCTTTTGGGATACATTATTTATTATACATGGTTCAGAAAAGTCCATCTCTTGCTCTTCCCCTTTTATATGTTCTTTTAGTGTAAAAGGGTTCCTCTATTTTATTGTGTTCCTGGTTCCTCTGGACTTGGTCTTGGTGGTCCCCTCACCCTTTTCTTTCCCTTATTCCCTGCTCACTCTCTCACCCCAACTTAATAGCTAGCTAGCTAGCTGAAAAGATTTACATTCCAGAAAGTGCATATCTTATGATGTGCTTTCTGATGTCTTAAGACATCAGATGATGAACAATGAACACCCACATGTTTTAGAACTATGTCGAGGTTTCCATGTACAATAACAAATAATATACTCCCAATTGTACATATTAAGGCCCTTATCCTGCATCAGGATCAGCTAACATGGACCCCTGTGCCCAGCTGGGTACCAGTGGTGTCACTGAAGCTCTTTACAGAGAGAGGGGCTTGCAGCAGTTCATCATGGCAGGCTTTTAGGGCCTAAGGCTGCAATTCCATCAAAGGCTTCTGGTGATGACATCAACTACAAAAGTAGAACTTGAGTGGCTTGTTAATATCAACAGAACTTTTCTTTGGAATTATTGCCTTACTTTATGTATATTTTGTGGTACATTATTTATTATATGTGAATCCTGATTAATGCCTGTGGAGCCATGGAAACCTGCTAGAAATACTGGTGGCCATTCAAAGCTGCTGAAAGGCAGTGGCACTGCTCTAAACCACTTTTTGCAAATGTATTTTTTAATTAGTTTTTTAATGTAATTTTGGTGATGTTTATGATGATGGTTTTTTATGTACTCTTGGTGATGTTTCAGTCTTACGTACTTTTCTGTTGTCAGGAAGGTACCAGTGGTTGTTTGCAGTCTTATTGTGTAATCAGCCTATTACAGGCTTCCATGTATAATAAAGTTATTAACATTGTGCAAGTGTAAAACACTTCTGGTTATGAAAGTGGTGTATTATTAAAGGAATTGTTACAAAAATCCTGGGTAATTTCTCCTGTTGTCCCTTACCACTAAGAATTGAAACCTGAGCCTACTCGTGATCTCTTTTAGTAGTAAGTGTCTTTTTTTTTCCCCCCTCACTAATCTAGAGTTTGTTCTCATAGAGTCCGTGTAACTCCATTAACTTTTTATTTATACTTGATTCTGTATTTCATGCTGTTTCAGTTTAAATAAGCAAACGACAACTGTTCTTTACTCACAACCCAACTGGTCATCGGGGATGGAATAGTCCGTAACCACTGTGTTGGCTTTTTGAGTACCTTTTCTTTTGTTTTACAGAGGTTATAATTTACGTTCTTTATATTGTGTGTAGTAGAAGTTGCATATGTATTGTTCTGGCTGTTTGCTTTAACTTAATAAAACCCATTATTCACAAAATCATTAAGATATCACTTCTATTATCCAGTCACACTTGAGAACCTATTAGGGAAACATTAGGAGATTAAATTTTGAAAAGGAATAATATAACTTACTGGCATTTTTTCAGCTTATTCTCTTCAGTTTCCTTTTGAGTCAGATAATCTGAATGTGCTATTTTAGAAACCAGGGCTCTGGTTTTCTCTCGTACCTTTAGCATAGCAAAGCTGAACAAATTTCCTGAAGTTAAAATGTTCATACAGCCTCATCTTTTGAAATCTGTAGTTTTGGTTAAAAACCACCTAAATTGCATATTGTTAACTTCAAGACTTTTTATAATTGCTGGAAATTCAGAATGACACGTATGTAATATAATTTCATTCAAGGTAAAGATTGTAGAAGGTTCCCTATCTGCTTTTTGGGGAGGGTTTTTGGTTGTGGTTCCTCTCCCCCCCATGCTAACTTGTGCATTCTAAAATGCCCAGTAAAAATAGTACTGTAGCAAAATAGTTAAAAGCATTTTAGATTATCTGAAGATAGTTTGTGGATTTACTTAATCTGTATTTTTCTTCAACTTCGCATGTGAATTTGAATCAAGACAATGACAGATGAGAAAAATGCTTGGCATGCTGAAAAATGGCAAAAACTTTACAAGGTAAGTATGGAATATCAGAACATTGCTAAGAATCATTTAAAAAAATCTGATGGAGACAGTGGAATTTTGCACAGTTTAGCAGTCATTCAAAAATGTTTCTATTTAGAGCAAAAATAAATATTTTCCTACTTCAGTATGGAGTTCAAATTTTTTTCTCTTTAAATAATGAAGGTTAAGGAAATCGGGCTATGGCTTTACCTGTTACATATTAGAAAACTATATAGTAAGTAGTAGTTAACCCACATGAACTAAAATGTTATTTGGGGATGTGGCAGTGAGAGATGGAAAGGGAAAGCAAAATGGCTCTTTATTTCAAGGTTTGTTTTTTGTTGTTTCTAAAGAAATTATAGGAGGGGAATGATAACCTGGTTCCTACCACTAAGAGGATTGCAAAGAAGAATTGATAATATGTGATGATAGAAAACTGTGCATAAACTGTCACACTTCTTCTTTCAGTAGCTCATGGTTTTGCTTTGAAACAAGTGCATTATGGTACCTTGAATTGTGAATGCATCTCTGTGTCCCAGGCCACAGATCCACCTGCAGATGATATAGAAGAACTAAGTAAAATTTGTCTTAGCTCCTGAATTACTTAAATTGGACACAGACTTGTGGGTGAAATGTTAGAGTGACAAACAGAAATGAAAGCAGAATGGTGTGAAGGGTGGTTGCAATTTCAGATTTATGGATACTGATGAAGAAAAGCTGCCTAATGCCTCATGGAGCCCTTGAGAAGATATTGGAATAATTTGATGTATTCTATTAGTGGTTTTTGTTGTTTCAATTGTTTGGTCTTTCCCCACCCCCAGTATTATATGCTTGATAACAGTGTAATTGTCTGAATGATGCTTCTGCTGTTTTTTCTCCCCACCATCTAGAAATCAGCCTTGTTCATATCAAGTTGCTGTTGTGACTGTGGAAATGTTTGTTATACCCAAGAAGATACTTGTGACAATGTTTAAGTTACTAATTCCATGTTCTAGCATGTCAGGAATCAGGTCACTTTAAAATGAAAGATACTGTTTACAGCCCCTGCTGATTACCAGCTTTAAACATTTGAGCTGTAATTTTCCAGGCTCTGTCTGTCTCATGCTCTATGCACTATCTCTGGGAAACTTCTGCAAAAATTGCTCACATATTTCCTAAAATTAGATTAAGGAAGAAAACTTTCTTGTTCCACTGGTGTTTTCATCCCTTGCTTCTTCAAAAACAAATTAGAATCATCTCCCCACAAGCTAGGACTCTAGACTAGGTTGGTGGATATCCCTTGTTGAATCACTGTTCTTGAAACCTGATAATAATTAAAAGTTTTTGAAAATGCTTTTACATTCAGAGATTTGAAAGTTTGGCAGCTCTGTCTCCAGAGATGACCACTCCAGGATAACAGTCAGGCTGTTACAATCATTTAGTCTGTTAGTCCATGTGGCAGTCTTCAGTGTGTGTACATGGGTGCATGTGCTGCATATTCTCAGGTTGGAATCTGTTTTCTCGCTGCTTATATGAACTGTACTGTCTTTTAATATTCTTCTCAAGTGATTTTTGTGCAATTTTTTTTTTGTACAAAGACAGAAAAGTATGGTTTAGTATTGTACACAGCGTTTGGAACACAGGGTATATACCCTGCTTACCAAATGAGCAACTGTCATACATTTTGTTGTCTATGCTGTTATAAACATATTTCTTGTGTAACTTTTTTCACTGGTAGTTAAACCCCAGGTTTATTTCAGTGTTGTTTGCTTTCTCACACATTAGAAAAGAAAACAAATATATTTTGCCATATCCATATACTGATATTCTAATATTATGGGGTTTATAGATATACATTTACCTTTGGATGCCCGGTTTCCTTTTGATACCTATGACCTGGAGGGATAGGTGCTGACGTTTCATCTCTGTGACACTGATTGTAGTTGAGTTCCTTGGTATAAGATCTCTGGGTTACAACAGCAAGGTGGTGTTGCTTGGATAAAATTCTCTGTCATCGTGTCATCAGTCTGTTGTAATGTACATTCAGGGTGGAGTGAATTGAGGATTAAAGAGAAGATTTAGTTCTGGCTTTTTTTTTAAACTTTCATAATATTTATAGTAATGCCAATTTTTGTACTATATCTTCATATTAATTCTTCTCAATATTTTGCTTTTAATTAATTTCCAATGGATTTGGTAATTTTAAACCTAAGGCTGTCCTAAGTGATGGTAGGATGTTACACTAGAAAGCTGTCTGTCTATTTGGCAACCTGCTCTGAAACTTGACAAAATATTATACAGCCAGACTCAAAATGAAGAAAGAATTAAGAATTAATTTAAGAATGTATTTCTTTGATTATTTTAATATACTCTATCTTACCTTAAAATGTATTTTAAATAGCCTCTTATTCAGTGCTGCAACTCTCAAAACATTCTGTGAGGTAATGAGGCATATAATGGTCACTATGTAAGATCTGCAACAAGCATCAGATATTCTGTAGTAGCTCATGTACCACCTTTGATGCTAAAACCTGCTTTATCTAAGACTAGGTTTTTACCATTCAGAATATTCCTGTGTCTTGTTCAGAAGGATCCCTTTACTTTGTGCTGTTGGCAAATGAGATTTGATTTTGATTTTTTTTCTCAAAGGCCAAAAGATTGGTTGCTTTTTCATCTTACGATTTCTCCTTACAGTGTGTACTCCTCTGTGTGCTCATACTCTGTCCCCAGTGGAAAGGTCTTGACTGGGACATGATTGTTTATGTGGCTGGAAATTATGTCAGTGGTGGTAAGGATGGTTCAGTCTACTCAAACATTCTGCATACTACACTTGTTTTCTGATGGGGGGGAAAATGGCTCATAGGTGGGATGTTTTTGCATGCTGTTACATTCTGAGAGGAGTGGGAATAAAACCAGGCTGAGACCTGTTTAGAGTAGAATTTACAAAGAAATCCACGTGCAGCTTGCTGAGTGGCAGGGTTTAGAATCAATTTGATTTCCTTTCTGGTATTGAGGAAATATATAGATGTGTAATAAAATATATTGCATATTTTTCTGAGGCGCTTTAAATTCTGATGGGTAAAATATACCAGTGGAACTTCTTATCTCTTAAACAAAATGATCTCTAGAATGAAAAATATGTTGTCTTGGAAGCTACTTGGTCATACTGGACAATGAGACTAATAAGGATTAGCTTCTTCAGCTGAGGAGGGCACTTATATTGTGTTAGCTCTCTGCTTGGAATTCGATCAGGTTGGTAGTAACACATTTACTTGTAGAAGCTCCTGGCCCTATCCTGTCTGAAGGGGCAGAAGGCAATCACACAGTCTTGGCAGAGAGAGCATGGCCTGCCTTTTGCAGCTGGACTGTGGCCAAGGGTTTGGAAGTGCGAGAGACAGTGCAGCAAGCTCCATGTCTCAGAACACCTAGGGTTTTTTGGAAGACCTGGCATTTCCAAGTATTGATTCACTATGTGAAAATGAAATGCAGAGATCTGTGCCAAAATTCTGCTATCTTGAGTTTGGCCAGAGGGCTGAATAACCCCGGTGTTATTCACTAGTAGTCAACAGAGATGTGTCACTAAAACTATTCAACCTGTTTAGCTTAAAGAATTTTATGAAAGCTAGGTCAGATGATATCATGAACTAGGAGCATCAAACCCTGTAACTGAACATGTACACTTGGTGTTCTTAGTGCAGTCTGTATGAAATCTGTATGAAATGTGTAGGTGGTTTAAAAGTTTACTTCCTGAGCATTCTTAATTAAAACTTCTTTCCAGGTTTGCTTCTCTAATAGTAATTTCATATTAGTCTGGAGACGCGAAAGTTAAACTAATTACTCATCTTGAGATCTTGGAACTTGGATTTTTTTTTTGAGAGCAGGTAATAATTTTTGTGCAGATACACTAAATTTGATTATTTATTTTGGAGCTGAGAGACTTTAGAGTAAAAGTAGTTTCAGAGTTTGTTTTATGTGGTTCGGGAAATCGTACTTCACACATCTTATCTTAAGAGTGGATGGCAAGGGGAATAAGACTGCTGAAATCATTAGTTTTTACAATTTTTAACACCATATTCTGATGCTTGCATGTTTTGTTCTTCTCACAATGAAGCTAAATTAAAATCTCTGAGAAAGAGGTCCCTCTAATATAGCGTAATGAAGTCTTTAAATGGGTACAGTTGTAGGTCATCGTGAATAGGAATGCAGTGACCTTTGTCTTGACAATGAAGCTGACACAAGCTTCTCAATGAGCTGTTCTTTTTTTTATTATTTCTCCGCCAGAAAGGACACAAATAAAACAGAGGATCCCCTTCTCCCATCAGTGAACAAAATCAAAAGACTAGAAAATGTATTGTAATTTGTCAGTTTGCAAAATCTAGAAATAATACAGACTTCTCGCTCAGTATAGATACTGCTACAGGAGTGATTTGTGGCAAGGAGTTGGGAAAAGAAGGAAAGTCTACTTGACCGGCCGTATGACTAGTAAAGGGCCTTCTGGTTTCTTAAGATACTTTGTAATTGTCTGTTTTGATTTTGGGATATACAGCAGTAAGGCATTCAAAATTACTTGTAGCTATTTATAGTTTGGAATCTAGAAAAATCAAAAATCTTTGTGTCATTGATTTTCCACTTACTTTTGCAGTACATTGCAGGCTTGCAATGCACTGAAATCTAGGAAGGCTTGAATTTCTTGGTGGCCTGTATAAAAAAGCGAAGTGTTCTGCAGAAAGCAGATAAATGTTGTGACCGTTTTCTAGTGGGGAAACACTTGCTCTATCCAACTTCAGCAGAGGTTTTTGAATTGCAGTACTCAGCAATTTTCTTCAACCATAGAGAATCATCTGTCATTCTTAGAGAATGGCATTACCTCTAGTTGAGGACTTTCTCAAGGTTTCAGCAATGTTGATCTGAATTGTGCTCTCTTGTAGAGGAGAGGCCTGTGTAGCAGAGCAAACTCTGAAGTGTGCAGTCAAGGTAATGAACGGAGATTGGTTTCTTTTTTAA